CCCCACCACGCTGGGATTCTGTGATCACTTTTCTGCCCTAGTGACCCTCGTTTCCCATCTCAACTCCACTCTCTTGGACTCTGTAGCACTGGGTTAATGGCTGCACTCCACCTTAAAAGTCTTTTCAAACCTAAACAATTGTAGGATTCCAGGGTTCTGTGCATCCCAGGCAGGACCTGGCAGACAGGACACTGTGTCTACGTTGAGAGAGATTTCTCTTTTTTTTAATTCTTTGGCTGAATTTGGCAGCCTGGTTTCTTTGTCACAGCTGAATGTGGGTCAGGCATGCGGTAGTCTAAATTAGATTATTGTTCAATGCAGTTTAATCATTAAATTGGGACTAGGAAGGGAACTGCTCTTTTAACATTCATCTTAGTGTGACAGAGCATGGCGCTGGCTGCCCAGGGTGAGGTTCTGCCCAGAAACCCAGCATGTTATTCCCTCTCTTTAGCAAGAGGTCATTACATTGAGGTTGAGATTCAACGTGAGAACCAAACATTTCCCAGTGATCCAGCCAACACTTCAGCTTTATCAGGGCTTTGGCAAGATTTGCAGCCTGAAGTGACCTGAAATCAACCCACTGGGGTCAATAAGCCCAAAAGGCTGTAAATAAATGATAAATGCAGCGAGTTATGTCTAAATCACCCTTTAAGGAGATGTCAGGTACTGTGGGCTGCTCACACGTGGTTTTTTTTGGTGCCCCTTCACAGCATTAGCAGAAGGATTATTTTGGATGAGGCAGAAATCTTTCTGGATGAATTTGCTTGGAGTCTTTGTGCAGGTCTGAAAGAAGCCACGCTGAGGAGGCGCTGCCCACGTGGCCTTGGCCTCCCCTTTGCTGGGAGGGCTTTGGGACGCAGCAATGAGGAGACCCTCCACCCGCCTTCCTTAGGCAAACCTGGTTTATTCACACGAGGCAACGCACAACTTGCAGACAGGAGGCCCAGTGATACCCCAACACAACAGATCCTGATCCCTAATGCTGCAAACTCCTGAAGAACTGATGCATCTGTGAAGCTGAAACCCCAGGGGGGAGAAGCAGAACCTTGGGCTGCACCCCGAGTCCAGCCGTGCCGCCCACCACCGGCCACGTCACTCAGAAGTCCCAGTGCTGGTGAAGGGAGCTGTGAAAGCTCAGGCACGCCCAGCACCTGCCCCAGCTCTGTTTCCTTCCCTTATTTTTTATTTATTCTTCCATTTTCACCAATCCAAACCAGCGTGAGCTTGGTGTAAAATGGAACTGGTGAGAGCCACGAGTTCTAACGCGTCATTTGTTCATTCGACAGACTCATCACAGTGTTCGACGTGAGCAAGAGTAGTGCTGATTATTTCTTAGAAAAGATGCATAGATTGAAAATAAGGGGAAAAAAAAATCATCTTCCTATCAGAACATAACTCCTGTGAGAGGTTGTGCTGCCAGCCCTGCCCCGCTCAGCTCTCCTTCGAGGCACAGCCTTCAAAACAACCACCACGAACATCTACCAACCAAACCTGAAGCAAAAGGAACACAGAATGTTATTCTGAAGGTTTACTTGGTAGAGAAACAATCTGGGTTTTTTTTTTTTAAGTTGTCATTTCTGCACGCAGACAGCCAGTGCAGTTGTCACACCAGGGCTGGAGGGGAGAGCACAGCACCACGTGGGGTGTCACAGGCAAATCCAGCCACTGCCTTCAGCTGATGGTAACACAGGAGGTCACCAGCTCCTCCTAGAAGAGAATTCATCTAGTACTGACATTTTTGACACCTAGGAAACAAAGATGTTACAGTGACATTCTCAAGTTGCACAAATTCCTCTGCGAACCCTCAGGAGGCTCTGTGGAAAAGCAGAAGTCAGGACTGTGGATTCCTGGTACAAAAGGGCAGGTACAAACCTAAGGTAGAAATCTGGAGTTAGGAGAAATCCTTTGGCAGCATGTTCAGTTACAATCAGGCCTTAAAAATAAATATGATCCTGTATATAAGTATGAAGAGAAAAAAAACCAGATCCTATTAACACCAAACCCCTCTAAATACACTATTTTAATCATAATTAAATTATTTTACACTATCTACAGGTTGCATATCACAGAAATAGAAGAGGTGAAAGAATGACCAATCCTGCTTTTAGAAAATTTCGGGCTTTAACAGTATGTGTATATGTAGCCATGTAGAAAACCTCAGGCATTTAAATGAGTATATACAGTATTTATATCTCACAATTAACTGAAGAGAATCAAATCACATCTGCCCAACTCTCTCAGGGGGAGAGGCTCCAAAAACTGGACCAAAGTTTTGAATTCAATAAAAATACTTCCCTTAATCTCAATTTCCTAACGAACGCGGAGACTCTAGACAAAAAGACAGCAAGGTTTAGTTTGACTACACACCAACCTGGAACAAAGCAAACTCTTGCCAAAAAAAGGACAAAAATCTCCAAACAATAACAATTTTGAACAGCAGCATGGAAATGAATCTTTCCTCTTGGAGAACACAAGGAGCAAGTTGCCAAAATGCTTCAGTGTTGCAACGTGTGTTTAGACTGAAGGACTTCACGGGGAAGGATGAGGACAAATCAAAGTCATGGAGAAGGAGAGACAAAAGCTTCCTCCTGATTGCACAAATGTGAAGTAAAACAGGATTTAAAACAGGATTTAAAACAGGATTTAAAGAGCAGGTACCGAGCACCTTATTGCATGAGGACATGGCTGCAAATAAATGATAAATGATTTAAAGTCGTAGCTCTAAATCATGAAATAAAATGGGAGAGAGGTGGAAGTGGAGCTGAGTGAAGGGTGGATTTTATTACTCAGCAACAAAGTTCTCATTTGGTAGAAAATTTATACCCCCAACATACTTATTTAGGAGCTTTGTGCATTTAACCAAGGTGGTTTTATCGGTGACTTGTTTCCATTACCTTCCCAATTTAAAGATTATTACTCATTGTAAGGCTGTTAATCATGACTGTGCTGAAGGGAGTAGGTCAATAGTGGATTTTTTCAGAGGTTGAGTAAAGGAATAAAAGAAATCCCACATTCCTGAAAGAGAATTTGGCTCATCTGCTCCTCTTGTACAAACCCCACCCCTTAAAAAAAGTGCATCAGGGGAGAAATTCTTAAGGTTTCTTTTCTCCCCCAGGCAGTGCCTCTTCTCAAGACACCTCTGTTGTCCTCCACCTTCAGCCACTCCTTGGACCAGAGGAGGAGCTCAGTCCCACTCCCAGAGCATGTGTGCCCAGCCAGCACACTGAACCCCTTCTCCACACAGTGCAGGAGTTCCTCTGGCTGCTGTTGGTGTTATTTAGAGGTGGAAACAGTGGCAGAGCAAGGAAGTCCAAGAGAGGCAAGGCAAGAACCCCCTGGTCCCATAAAGATGATTCCTGTTCCCCTCAGCTCCCTGCAGGAAAGGGAACAAGGCAGATTCTCACAGTCTTAAGAAGCTTCACGCATCCTTGAGCGCCCTCCTTTCCCATGAGGAACTACAATACTCCTTCACTTCTAAAGACATCCAAAAAACACAAAGAGATTCTCTACAGTTCCTGGCTCAGCACCTTGCATCCCCAGCGTGCCCACACAGCCAGCTGGGACCATCCCCTGCCTGCTCTCACAGAGGAGACTTGTGCTTGCAGTGCCACCTCTGCCAAAAGCCGCCCCTAGCGAAACCCCACCTGCTTTCTTCAGGAGAAACACACCACGAGTTCTCCACAGCTTCCCAAAAATCTAATGGGTAGCACTGCAGCACATCTCGTTTCTCCTCTTTCTGTAGGTCCATGGTCCTCACTGTCACAACATCAAATCATTTTCTCTCCCAGCTCCCCCGTGCTGAAGCCGGGCGGTTGTTCCCATCACGTGGTGCGGGGACGGTGGTCTCTCAGTCTGCAGAGACTCTGGAAAGCCACTTGGACAGAGGATTATAGCAGGATACAGGCAACACAACGAGACAGACACAGAACGATGATGAAGCATCCTCAAGTTTTCAGAAACACACTTAAAAAAAATGACTTTTGGACAATCTTGTCAAGATTCGTGAGTGGCCTTTTGTGAGAGCGCCGAAACAAGGGTACCAGAGTAATCTGGTATTATTTTAAACTATCAGCTAATCTAATTCAAATTATCTTAAAGATCAGATCTGATGTGTATTTTCACTCTGCAGTAAGCTGGGTTATTTCCAAAGGAAAATGTATTTTGATATCCATGACAGGTATCCATAAAAACCATTCGGTTGGGCCACCTTTATTCAGGAACTCGGCAACGGAGCTGGTGTGTTCCTAGAGGAGAGGCTGCTGGTGGTAACTCGTGGGTTGCTGGAGAACGGGGGGAGGAGGGACAGCCAGGGGGTAAGCTGGTCCTTGAGGCAGGCTGGTGGTGCTGCTGTGGTAGGCTGCCATCTCCACGGGCAGGGCCATCTGCTGCGGGGCGTAGGCGGCCGTGCCGGCCGCGGGGGGCACGGCAGGGCTCTGGCTCCCGTAGGGCTGGTTCAACACGGGGTCCTGTCCCGGGCTGAAACGACCCAAAACCAAGTTCTCCTGGTCAGCTGGCCTCATGAGCCTCAGGAGGTTCAACCAGGCCAAGGGTAGGGTCCTGCACGGCAGGAGGGGCGACCCCTGGTATCAGGCAGGCTGGGGGTGAAGGGATGGAGAGCAGACTTGGGGGTGGTTGGAAGGAACCTTGAAGCTCATCTCATGTTGTTCCACCCCCCTGCCATGGGCAGGGACACCTCCCACTAGAGCAGGTTGCTCAGAGCCCCATCCAGCCTGGCCTTGAACACCTCCAGGGATGGAGCATCCACAGCTTCCCTGGGCAACCTGGGCCAGGGTCTCACCACCCTCACAGGGAAGAACTTCCTAACATCTAACCCAAGGAGTCGTGGGCTGGTTTTTAGAAAGTTGAGAAAAAATGTTTTATCACAGAATCACTGAATGGTTTGAGTTGGAAGGAACCTTGAAGCTCATCTCATGTTGTTCCACCCCCCTGCCATGGGCAGGGACACCTCCCACTAGAGCAGGGTGCTCAGAGCCCCATCCAGCCTGGCCTTCAACACCTCCAGGGATGGAGCTTCTACCCCCTCTTTGGGTGACCCATGCCAGTGTCTCACCCCCCTTCACCAACAACCAAACAGTATTTCACATCACTGTGAACCCCCCAACCCCACACAACCTCTACACAAAGCAGTGTAGCTTCAGGAAGAAGGTGATTTAACAGTTTGCTGAAGAGGTACCTTAAATAGGCAGCTTGTGCTGGCTGAGTTGCTCCTGAGGAGTTCACACTTTGTGGCAGAGACCTCAGCTGCCCCATCTGATCAGGCCCTAGGCTGTAACCTGGGGAAATGGTGACTTGGTGAACACCCTGGATCATGTAGTTTCCACTAGGTGGCTGTACAGGATACGACTGTAAATAAAAAAAAACACACACAAACCACGTTTTATACCTTTTAATTATCCATGAAGCAGCAGCAAACGTGGCACAGGGTAGCACTACAACAAAGAAATGTGTCAGGCTTCAAAGGCTGGATGAACAGCAATTAGTTTTCCTAACAGGGTTCTGAACCCAAACCGTGTAACTTCTTATTAATAAATGCCCTTTATTTCACCAGAAGGTCACCCCCCCCTCTTCCAGACGTGTGCTGCTAACAAGGCCAGGGCTCAGGAGCTGAAAGAGGCTTTTGTACCCAGGACAAAACCTCTGCCTCCCCCAGAAACCTTCCCCCCTTTCTTCCTCTCCAATCTGCCTGCCTTTGAAACGTTCAGTCCCTGCGTCCTTCGCCGCACGCAGAGCTGAGTGGGAAGATGGGCACCAGCTGAGGTTTGTTATTTAACATGCTTTGGAAATTAAACCATGAGAATATTTTAAGACTGGAACACAGAAGGAAAGCAAAAACTTCAATTCCTTGCATTTCTGGTTGAAGAGAATGGAATCTTTGGCTAAAATGCTGATGGAAGAGGTGGTGTGACCCACACCGCTCTCTGGGTACGGCCCTTGGGTGGTGCCTGGGCAGTGCAGGACAGTTCTGCCCCCAGCCCTGACACCAGCTCCTGCTTCTCACCCCTCCCAGCACGCCTCTGGGTCGAAAGAGTAAACTCCAGTTACCTCAAATTACTTCTTAACCTCCAAGTATAATGAATTTTCCATCGTTAGCAGGACTTGAGGACATGGAAGTACTGTCAACTGACATATTTTCAGATCTAGCAGTTGCTATGGCAACTATTCTTTTCCCACTGAACAATTAACATTGAAGTAAAATTCATTTCAAGTAAAACCCCTCGTTCTGCTCCTTCTCCAAACACCATCTTGAAGATCCTTCTCCTCTATTTTCTTTTCCTGAACACATCAATAAGGCACATGAGGGATAGAGTGAAACGGGCTCGAGCAGCTCCACCCCCAAATACAACAAGTTCATTTCTTCAGGGGAAAAAAAAGAGCTAAAAGCAGGGGAGTGTTTCTGTATTTAGCAGCAGACTGCACTCTGGATTAGTGCACTAATATTAAAGCTCACTCTGTCCCTGCTCTCAGCCACGAGGGGAACATCTCACTTGAAAGACCGAGGACGTGACTCACGGCAAGAACCTCCAGCAAGCTGCTGAAACACACAACTCCAACTGGAACAGAATTAACCACAGAAGGAATCTTGCAGTCTTTCCAGCATCTGTTACGTGGAGCAAAGTTAATGAGGAGGCTTTACTGTACAGGGTGGGTGCAAGCTGAAGGACTCTGTTTTCTTCTAAAGGCTATAAAGAGTCAGCAGGCAATGTCAGATTGTTCGTAGGCTAGCAGGAAAGACACACTCTCCAGCTTTTAAAATAGAAATCTATATTAGGCAAGTCTCTGTTTCCAGACAGGGATACTGACCTGTGCTGGGACACCAGAAGATGTAGGTGGGTATTGTGCAGGATGGTGGAGTTTGGAGTAGGCAGAGTACATGGGGGTTTCATTCATCAGTTTGTTGTAGAGCTCCAGAGCTTCCAGAACCTTCACGTTCAGTTCGGACAGTTCGGAATGTTTTCTGTTGTGAAGTGGATAAAAGCAAACACTGAGTTTCTCTAAGACAGTGTTAGGGGGTAAAAAAAACCATTAAACAGTTTTGAATGCAAAAAGAAAGCCCTTAAAAGGCAGCTGGTTGATTTCTTACACATCCATATTGTAAAATTACTCAATATATTCACCAGTGAGTTGGCAGAAGGGACAGAGTGGACTGATGACACCAAACTGGGAGGGGTGGCTGGCACAGAAGAGCTGGGCTGCCATCCAGAGAGACCCAGACAGGCTGGAGAGATGGGCAGAGGGGAACCTCAAGAAGTTCAAGGGCAAGTGCAGAGTTCTACACCTGGGGAGGAATAACCCCATGGACCAGTGAAGGGAAGGGGCTGACCTGCTGGAATGCAGCGCCACGGAGAAGGAGCTGGGAGTGCTGGGGGAGAAGTTGCCCATGAGCCAGCAGTGTGCTCTGGTGGCCAAGAAGGCCAATGGTCTCCTGGGCTGTATGAAGAAGAGTGTGGCCAGAAGGTCAAGTGGAGTTCTCCTCCCCCTCTACTCTGCCCCTGTAGTATGGGGTTCAGTTCTGTGTTCCACAGTTCAAGAGGGACAAGGAACTACTGGAGAGAGTCCAGTGGAGGCTCCAGAGGTGCTGAGGGGCTGGAGCATCTCTGTGCCAGGCCAGGCTGAGAGCCCTGGGGCTGCTGAGCTGGAGAGGAGAAGCCTCAGAGGGGATCTGAGCAGTGCTGAGCAAGAGCTAAAGGGCCCCGGGGGGCAAGAGGCTGGGGCCAGACTCTGCTCAGTGGTGCCCAGGGACAGGACAAGGGGCAAC